GGAACTTGCCCAGGATCACACAGCTGAAAAGGGGAATAGCCCAGATTTGAACTCAGACCTCTGGCTTCAGATGCTGAGTGCTTGCTTACTTTGCTGTACAGTTCCAGGCCTGACCTAAGGAATACTGGTGTCCCTCCTCCTCCTCAGGCAGCCTCTCCTCCGTCTTCCCTCTCCTTTCCCCTCCCTCACGCACTGAGTCCCACAATGAGGGCACAAGACAATTGTTTTGCCACAGATTACGGGAGCTGGGTGACCGAGCCCTGAGCTTTCAGTCATCCCCAGCCTCCTCCCGTTTCCTGGCACCCCCCCGCACCCCTCACCCCGCCCATGTGGGGTCAAGTCCGTGACCTCATCTTTGGCTGAAGCTGACCATTCTGAATGGCCATGTTTTATGACCAAATAATGCAGGCCACAGATCATGCAGTGATTCAGTCCATCCCGGGGCTGAACCTCATAGAAACATTCAGAAAGATGAGGTCCCAGGGCTGGAGAAAAATATCTGTTCTATTCATTACATGCAATTAAAACAAGCTGAAGCTTTCATAGTCTGTTTGGGATGAGACTTCCCAGAAATTCACAGGGGATATGTCCTGTGAGAGACACATGTAAAGGCAGGCTTGCTGTGAGAGAGACAGGGAAATGACCTACATGTCCATTGGTTAGAATGGATGAATCAGGACATTCACCAGTAGCATACTCTATGGCAGTGACAATAAACCTGAGACGCCCACACAGCCCAGATGAGTCTCACACACGTAACGTCAAACATAAATTGTAGACACGTATAGAAAGAACGCCCTTTATATCCAGATTAATAGCATGCAGAACAATTCCATGTTGGTTCAGGGATACGTCCTTCTATACTCTAAGTATTAAGACGTGCATCAGATCCAGTGATGGGCAGGAGATTCTGGAATGCCACAGAGAGACGCCTTGGGGAGGGGTAAATGGGTTTGGAGGTTTATCGGTATTGTCTTCCCTCTCAAATGGAGTGATGAGCACATGGGATGACACAGGTATGCACCTTATTCCTCCCTTTTTGTTTTTGTAGGCCTTAAATGATGTTAAGAGCTGGGGGAAAACTCAATCACATGATTAACCCAGAAGAAGAATCACCCTTCTTCCTGGAGAGATCACTCCTCCAGGTCATGGCTAAGCTGACTCTCATTGTCTAGCTCCCTGGAGAAGGTTAGAAAGTCCAAGGTCCTGCCATCAGGGACCCAGGTCCAGCCCCAGCAGCCACCTGTTCAAGTGCCAAGTGCATCTAAGTAGGGAGGTGCCCCCCACTTTGGGCCCCCACGAATGCCTCTCACTATCCCCATGACAAGTGGGCAGTCAGGAGCTGGGCCTCGGGGCAGAGGATGGAATGAGGTTAAATGAGAACACGTGGGCCGATGTCCAATACGGATGATCAATGTGTCCTGCCTATGTGATCCTCCCACCGCGCTAGCACTGGTCTGGGGAGTTCTCCGTGCTCACCGACCGCACTGGACTCACCTCGTGGCCCGGGAGCACGCAGCAGCACTCCGCAGGGAACAAAGGCAAATCCCCACCCACATGGGGTCCTGGAAAGAGAACATCCATCAGAGGACGGCAGGGGAGACTCAGGGGTAAGAGCGCTCTACGTGGAGAACCTCGGGGAGAGTGGATGCCCCCAGAGGGTGATGATGAGGGCCAGAGGGTTCCGTGGTTTCAGAAAGTGTGCATGTTTATATTTCCTTACATATGTCTTCACATGGATATACCTACACATGTACATGCATTGGATGTACATTCTGATGTGTATATTCGCCTGTACACATATTCTTGTGGATTCCTATATAAACCCACACACTGTGAATGTGTTTGCATACACACACATATGTACTTATGTGTATACTTGTATACGTGTATGTGTGCCTATAAACTTGTGTAGGCCAACATCTATGTTCCATCTTAAAGTAGAAGGGTCGCGAGGGCGTTTGCTGGAGGCTCCGGGCAGACCCTGGCCAGGGGTCCCTTGCCAGTACTCAAGGCGTCCCTCCGGGGAGTGCTGTGACCAGTGCTGCTCCATTTCCCAGGCCCGGAAGCTGTGGTCTGAGACGGTAGGTTGGTCACACGATGTCACCCAGGTGGAGGACACAGGCTGTGACCCGCCAACATGCTAGAGCCCCAAGCCATATGGAGAGGGACAGCTACGCTATTCACGTCCCCCTGCCCAGGTTACCCTCCCACTTGCCCCTTGCCCCCTGCGCCTGTGCCCCCCCACCCCGTCTCTCAATTGTGAGGTCCACCAGGGAGGGACTTCTTCCTGGCTGTCTCTTGAGGGTCTTACAGGGCACTTTGCATTTATTTCCTCTCAGTTAATGCTTGTGGAGGATGTAATCCCCACCACCCATGTGGGGCATCGTTAAGCACAGCTCCCAAGTGGGGAAGCTGAGGCTTGAACTCATGTTGATCTGATTTCCGAACCACTAAACTCTACCCGTCCTTCAGCCATTAGCGATGTGCCCACCACTCCGCCTGCTTCACAAGGAGGCTCTGCCGTTTCTAGAAGGCCATCTAGCCCCAGACCCAGAGGCCCCTGGACCCCACAACTGGCCTTGACCCTGCTCTTCTTCTAACCCCCACATCCAGTCCCTCAGCAAGCCTGTCCCCACTGCCCCCCACATGACAGCCTGTTCAAACTCTAGTCCGCTCATCACTACTGAAGCAACAGGTCCCAGCATCCCCAGGGCTGCCCCTGTGACCTCTCCTCCTGGTGCTAGCTGGCTCTGCCCGCAGGACAGTGGCCTGCAATGGTCACATGCGCAAACAGCATCCAGGCAGGGCAGCTCTGGTCTGACCCCTAGCCTGGGCAGGGACAAGGACACCACCCTCAGGTGGCCTCAGGTGCAGGCAGGAAGGAGAAGGCTGGACCCAAAGAATAAAGAGGTCCCCTGAGATGCCTTCCTGAGACTTCAAGAGCAACCGAGAGAGCCTTCCAGGAGAAGAGTGCTGGGCCGAGCCATGGCCATTGACACGGCCTTGCCTTATCCACAGGCTACTACTGACTCTGCTGTTACATGAGCCAGAGAGTAGGGAGTGGACTGGTCCCTCCACAAACCCCGAGGAGTCCCCTCCAGTCCTCTGGCCCATGTGCACTGTGCCTGGGGCAGGCGGGATGGGGACAGGAGGGAATATGAGTCCCAGTAGGCTCCCCATCTGTCCCCAGCATTGGGGCTCCCGCCCTGCTTTGTACTCATCCAGGGCCAGAGCCAGCCCTGAGCCCCAGCCTGTGTGCCTGGAGCCCGGCCCTGCCTCTCTCCTGCCAGCCCCCTAACACCAGACCCGGTCCCCGCTTTTCACAACAGATGGATCTCACCACAACACCTCCTCTGAGATCGCTGCTAAGCCCTGCATCTGTCCTTTCCCTCGCGGTCCCTAGCAGGGAACGTAGGGAAGGGACAGGGAGCCAAACAGCTATGAGAAGCCCCTCCTATCCCAGAAGGATCAGAATTTCTACAGTAAAAGAGATGCCTCTGTGTACAGCAGAGAGAAGCTAAATGGCCCCGGGGCAATGGGAAAGGAATTCATAAGAGATGACAGTGATAATTAGTGCTGACGACTGCCAAGGGGCTAAGGCAATCTCCAAGGAGTGCCTTCCTCCTCCCCAGCCCCGGCATCCCAGACCTCTCCAGCCCTCTCCAGACCCATACCATCAGGCCAAGCACCAGGGCCAGCTGTCTCCTGAATGCTAAGGCAAAAGTGGAGCTGAATCATCATGCTTCTTGATCTTTGGAGGATCAGGGATACCCTTAAGACTCTGACAAAGGCTGTGACTCCTTCCTGGTGGGAAAGCAGGAGCCCATCGCAAAGTCTGCTACAATTTCAACAAATTCCCCCAGCCCTTAGAACCCACCTGTGACACCTTAAAGGGTCAATGACTTTTGTTTTAATTCATTCAGCCATTCAGTGGAAATCTCTTCAGTGTCCGCTAACAATAAGTGCCCCGGTGGGTGTTTTACAATATTTTAGCATCTACAATACTACTTAGCCAGGGTAGCCCAACAGAATGCTCTACCAGCAGCACATTTGGCTGAGCCTCACCTCCTGGCACCATAGTTCTCGGTGCTGGCTGCGCGTCAGAACCCCCGAAGAGCAGTTTAAAATTCTCATGCCAAAGCCTCACCCAGATCATTTAACTCAGAACCTCTGGAAGCGGAAACCTAGGGCTGGCTGGGGATGCAACCGGGGGAGAGAACCACTGCCCTGGAAGATCCAATAGTGTTCGTTTGTAAGTTCCCGAGGTGGTGGGGATACACGCCCTAGAGCAGTTGATTCATTCATACATTCAGCAAATGTCTAATGAGCATCTACTATGTCCCAGGCAGGATGCTGGGCGTGGGGGGGGGGGCGGGCACAGCAGAGAATGAGAGATCAAAATTTTGGCCCTTGCAAAGATGATATTCAAGCAGAGGGAACCAGCAATAAGTCACCAACATATAAAAAGATCTGCAAATTGTGTTTCGTGCCACAAGGCTCATAGATTAGGAAGTGACACGAGGAATAATAGAGGGACCTTCTTGTAGAAGCCAGAGACATTTCGTAAGGGCCACTGGATCTGAAGCTTGGAGGCCAAGGGGCTGAGGGAAGAGGATTCCAGGTGGTGGGAACAGCCAGTGCAAAGGCCCTGTGGCAGGCCAGAGCTCAGAATAGGAAAATAGCCAGTGTGACCCTGCCTCGAGGTGAGGAAGGGTGTGATGTGGGACCAGGCTGACAGAGAGGAGCCAGACCAAATCCGGCAAACGATCTAGGATAAACTCCTGTCATACTCGCTCCAGTCTTCCCAGTGGTCTTGGCATGGAGTAAGTGTCTCAGAAGAAGTGACACCTTAAAGAAATACAGCTCAGAAGGAGCTTGGCTGGGATGCACACCCAGGTCTCCTGAAATGGCAAAGCAGAGGCCACAGGCCCTGCAGTAATTAATCCCCAGGATGGTGGTTCTCGCCACTCCTTGCCCACCTCCAGCCCCAGCCCCTGATGCCACTGGTACGGGGAGGGCATTGTCCTTCCCACCCCCACCGCACCTCATAATCCCATCACCGTGGGAACAGAGCCAGCCAATCAGAAGGCTCCCCTTTGCAAGGCCACCCTATAAATTGAGCCTCCTCTTTCCAGATGAACCAGACCTGCCTACCACTCATAGGCCTCCCAGGGCCCCCTCCCCCTGGATAAACCAGATCAGTTGCCCCCCACCTTCCTCCAGGGTAGAAACGGGGAGTCTGCTGCCTGGGATGTTCAGGACCAAGCTCCAGGCCTCCCAGCCCCCAGCGTAGAGCCCCAGCCACCGGCATGGCCACACCATGACACAGGAGCAACTCCAGGGCCCCTGAGACTTTCGGGGGGTAACCTGGGAAACTCGTGGAACAGCGAGAGCGGCTTGCTGAGCCTGCGACAGCCCAGCGAGGGGAAATGCAGGGCAAGTGACGCCAGCCTGTTGAGCAGCGGGTACGCAGGTGATAAGGAGAACAGTGAGGTCAGCCTGGTGGGGGGCACTCCCATCTTGAGGTTGCAGAGAAGGCTCCACGCCCCGGCGGTCAGCACCCCGACCAGCCAGCTGTGCGCAGTCTACTCGCCTAACCAGATCAGGAGCCGGCTGGCCAGCCGTGCCTGCAGCAGCAAGCAGCCTGGAGCGGAAAAGTGAGACCAGCCTGCCCGGCAGCGGCGGCAGCAGCAGAGCCAGCAGCCTGACCAGCATGAGCTTCATCAGCCTGGGCAGCAGCGCCCTGAACTACCAGGTGAGCAGCGGGCTCCTCAGCTCCGCCAGCAGCCTTCCCGCCAGCCAGGCCAGCAGCTGCCAGAACATCCCGGTGGACGGTAATGTGCAAAGTGCGGTGAAAAGTCACACCAGCCTTCCGGAGGACAAGTCCGGGGGCAAGGTCAAAGCCAGTGACCAGGCCGCTGAGGGGAAGCAGCCCGCCCAGATGTGCCTGCCTTTATGAGCCGGCTCGCTGGCCACCAGGTTCTCAAAAAATACATACGTGACGACCCAGCAAAGCTAGACTTGACCCAGAGTGGTTATGGTCAAAAACGAGTACCTTTTAAAAAGTATACACTGACTGTGTCAGAACCATGGATAGCGCCGTTCACAGCAATGACCAGCCGCACGGGGTGGCGTGTAGTGAGCACTATTGACACCCAGCGCTATCTCCTCGGACAATCAGCAAGCCATGGTGAGACCATCTCTACTGAGAACCACTGTTGGGAAGAACGGCTGTATGAAGAGCCATCGGTGCTGGGTCCCCCTGAATCCGCCTGCACTGGCCAGACCACTGTGAGCCCCGGGGACAAACCAGTCCTAACAGGATCCATCAATGGCAAAGCCATCTGCATTGAGAACAATTGTAGTGGGATCACCGGTGCCGAAACCCATCGGAGGGGACAGCTGTGACCAGCAGCAAATACGAACACTATTTAGAACCATCTGAAGTTAGAAGCTCCCATGGAGAAACCATGCTAAGTGATGAACGCCATCTATAACCAAACCAATCATGATAAGCTCGAATCTTGAACAAGCCCCAGCCTCAGCTGGGACTGTCCGCTGTCCAGAGCCAGCCAAAGGAAGCACCATCCGTGGGGACCCACAGCCCTGGGGGAGCTGGATCCCCACCCAGCTCTGGAGAAGAGCCGCTCACAAGAGCCAGCAGCACCCTCCAAGTGAGCTTGCCCTTCCTTTCATTTCGAGCACAGTTTCCGGGTTGCTTCGGCCCAGAATCTTCCCAGGAGCAAACGTTCCCCGATGGCCCCATCTGTCTCCACGTGCATCTCAGGGGAGGTAGAGACAAGAAAGGAGGCCAGAAATCGTCAGTTGACATGGTTGGGACAGTGCTTCCTACGGTAGGGCAATGCCATGATCAGTGCTTCATGGTGACAGAAACCAACCCAGCCAAGAACGGCCGGGATGAGACAGCTCTGTGCCATTTAGCACACGTTTCCTAGGTGGGTGGGAAGGCTTGAGACCTCCATCTACCCCTTCTCAAGACACTAATGTCCTTCCCTGGGGGCTGGCCGCGCAGATCTTGAGGAGGGAGTGTGTCCACAGAGGGGCGGAGGTCAGAACAGTCCTGAAGACATCCACTAGGTTCTAGAAGGAAAGCAGAGGGGGCACCAAACACAATAAACGGTGTCTAGAGAGGCTGCAAGTGTGTGTCTGTGTGTGTGTGTGCCCGCCGAGGTCACAGGGACAAATGCAAACCCACCAAAGAACCATGTTGAGAGGAGGGCTCAGCTGCCAGCTCTGCTTACCTCTAAGCGGGTGGTCTGGGGCAAAACGCTTATAATTAGTGAGCTCAGTTTCCTCATCTGGAAAATGGGAACAATAACCTCTATTTCATACACAGGTAGGATGGTTATGTGGGTTACGTGAAAATGCATATTAATTACCTGGTGAGTAGGACTAAATGTGTGTTTCCTCCCCTTACCTCACTTGTCTGTAAGATGGCCACAGACACGGTTTCTGCCTTGCGTTGCTCCCAGCACACAAAGGATCATGACTACTAACATAGATGATGTATTCTTGACCACATTAAAAAAAAGACAGAGCCATAGCATCTAGTTAGAAGTCAGAATGGGTTTCAGGGGTGAGTGTTTCTGGGTTTCAGGGCACCACGTGTCTGGACCAATAGGACCCTTCCCCTAGTGTTTCAGTGCCTTCGAGTACATTCTCCCCCACTTTGTGCAGGCAAAATCACTCCTCAAGAGCCCGGCACCCATGACTAAGGCAGACCGGAGGGGCTCCCTGCCCCCAGCCTGACTAAGGGAGCCCCTGTCCATAGGCAGGCCCTGGGTTGGGGGTGGGAGAGCTTCGGGGAGGCTCTGCGGCTGCCTCACCTCCCCGCACCCCCATCGCTGCCTTGCTCTCCTGTCTCAGCTTCTGTGTGCCCTCTGTCGTCCTCTGAGACAGAGGCCAAGCTGTAGGCAGAGCAACGCTGGACAGCTGGAGACCTCAGATGGAGCCACAGACTCCCTGGACCCAGCATGACCAAAATGAGCTCACCCCCTTCTCCTGACTCCCCTCCCCTGACCACTGCCTCCTGCGTCCCTTCTCAGCAAATGATGTCATCCCACCCCATTGTTCCAGCAGTCACACTGGACCCCACCTGCCTCAGCCCCATGTCCAATCAGTTCCTAACACCTCCCCTCCCCTACTGCTGCGCCCCCCGCAATCCAGGTTGTCCTCTTCCTCCCAGACCAGTGGTTCCCAGCCCTGGCTGCAGAGTAGAACCACCTGGGGAACCCTTACAAGATACACATGCACGGGCATCAGTGGTGTTTAAAGTCCCCCGGGTGATGAGATTGTCCCTTCTGGGCTGGGAAGCACCACCGCCCTCGCTCTGCTTTCCTCTCGAATGCACTTTCCACCCCTGGGGTCTAAAACGGACACCTGCATGGACCAGAAAGCTACACAAGGGAGTAGGTATGGGGCTCAGGCACACTGGCGGACATGTACCCTGTCTAAAGAGAAGCCAGAAATCCAGAATTCTCTATGTAAGATTTCCCTCCCGATTGTTCCATGTGGGTCACAAATTCAAATTCCTTCCCGAAAGGGGGAGGGGCAGGTGAAAATTCCTGAAGGCGGTCTCAGGACCACACAAACAAAGGCTTCTGCTTCTAAACAGAGAACGCAGAGATCTTTCTGGAACAAAAATCTGCATATATCCCTTAAACACTTAAAAACTTCTGAATCTTTCCACTGTCCAAAGGATTGGACACGGCATTCAAAGCTCTTCAGCAAACTAACCTATGGTAAGCTTCCCTGGACTCCTGCTACTTCCTCCAAAACCTCTCTATATGTACCACCTCACACCCGTCATAACGCATGCGGTAAAATGTCCCCTTTGTTGTCCAGCTCTATGGATTTTTGACGAGCAGACATAGATGGGCCAGGCATCTGCCACCATAGCCTGAATACCAACTAGTTTCATTGCACCCCCAAAATCCCCCTTTGCCCCTTTTGGGCAGTTCCTCCCACCCCAGCACCGCTGACCAGTTTTCTGCCCATACGGTTTTCCAGAACGCCACGCGCGTGGGATCACGCTGTACACAGGAGCCTTACAAGCCTGACCACCTCTGCAGAGCCATTTATGACTCAACCACGTTGTTGGTTTAGTGCCGAGTCATGGTCCACGGCCCATCAGCTCTCCGGTTGAGAGGCACTGGGTTCTTTCCAATCGGGGCGGGGGGCGGGAGGGGGTTGTTGCGACGTGAGTAGTAAACATTTACGTAGAGGTGTTTGTATGAACAGAAGTTCATCATCTCGTCTGGGTGAATTCCCACGGGTGGGACCGCAGGCTGGGATGTGCGTCTGGCTTCCTTAAGAAGCTGCCTGGTCACTTTCTGAAGGGACCAGCACTTCGTCTTTGTCCAAAGTCTGCGTTTTTCATCCCGCTCTCAACGTCTCTGTTCATTACCTTAACAATAAGAGGTCGTTTGTCTCAGTTTCCCACTGTTAACTCTGTTTTCTACAAGGGGAAACTGAGGCACACAGAGGCCTACTCTGTGTGAGTGAGTGGGGGGGGGGGATCAGAACCCTGGCAGTCTGGCCCCTGACTGTGAACCTCTCTACCCTGTCCTCCCTGCTTTGGATATTTTGGATCCTGACACGCCCAGGTGACAGGCCATCCCCAGACACAGAGCCCCTGGCCAGCTGTTTCTTGTCTCCAGCCCCTAAGTGTGGCACCTCTCACTGCATGTGCCTGCCTCCCTGAGGACAGGTGTCACCCCCCTACCCCCTGTCATTTCCCAGTCAGTGGCAGCGATGGCTGCCAAACGAATGAATGAATGGACAGATGAGAGACAGTGAGTGAAGGATAAATTGCTGAATCAGGTAAGAAAAAAAAAAAAAGGCAGATCCTCTCTATAACCTGCACTGCAGTAACTACATCCCACTGTCCCAAAACAAACGTGGTTCAGGATCCAAAAATTAAATACTGTTCTGCCGTGCACGCCTGAGCCCCGGGCACTGCTCCACCCTTCTCTCACTGTCTGCCCAGCAGATCCGTCTCCGCTCAGCTCTCTCCCACCCCAGCACGGGGGATGCAGCAACACTTGAAGCAAGAACCATTTTTCAGGCGGGCACGGTGATTTTTTCTTTCCTGTCCACTAGCTTGGCGTTCAGGGTGCAGCGGGGTTGGAATGATGGGTTGGCTGCAGGCACTGGCTTCTGAATTATTAACTGGGCTGGGGAGAGAGCTGCTTACAAATGTTGTCCGTGCAGCAGCCCAGGCAGCCCCCCGACTTCAAACAGGCCTGGAGCAGGGAGATGGGAAGGGGAGGGACTCGGCTGGTGGGCCCCACACGCTGACCAGATCTGAAGCCCCTCTCCCTGAGCATTCACTTGGCCTCCATCCCCTGGCCCGGAAAAAGTTTCTTTTTCTTGAGTTCTTCACACCACAGTTCTTGCTCTGTGGGTGTCAGATACCTGACATCTCCCCTTCTGTCAACCGCAAAACCATGGGCAAAAATGGATTGAGTCTAGGGATTAAGGGTCACTCTGAGCCAGGGGCTTGGTGGGTAAGCCAGACCCTTGGTCTGTGTCTCATTGTGGGCAGGGAGTAGAATAGGGTGCCTGAGGTTGGGTCTCTAGAAGCGGAGCCCGAGATGGGTATTCTTTTAAGATTTATGGAAAGGGTGTTCCAAGGAGAAGGGTGGTAAGGGACACAGGATGGGGCTGGAGACTGGCCTCAGAAAAAACGCTTGGGGAGTTCTGGAGTATCTAATGCAGCTCTGAGTGGGTCTTACCATCAATCAAATGGAGGCAGGGCCTTTGTACCCCCACACCCTGAGTGAAAACAACCTCCTGTGTGGATCAGCTCCAGTCCAAACAGGCAACTCTCCAGAGAAGGGAAAACCAGGAGCCACTAAAGAGCCACGTGGGGCAGG